ATCGTTTTGCCCTCTGTGGTCACTCTAATGGCCACCTAACGGTCGGCTTAAAACTAACATAAAGTTGACATCCGTCAACGCACTCCTGACAACCAAACCCTAGCTTGCATGTACACAAACTTCTAAGGCCTTCTAAGAAAGTTGGCCGAACTTAGAGAAATCCATGCCTCACAACCGCGGGACCTCGTCCTGATTACAGAGACATGGTTAAATTCTGAGATAACCGATTCTGAGATCAACTTACCCATATGTCGCTGCTTCAGACCGATGGAACCGGAAGGGGTTGCGGTGTGATTCTTTACCATAATACAAACCTTCGATTTGAAGTTATCGACCACCCGGAAAGCTTAGCTCCTGACTCGCTTTGGTGTAACCTATGGTTGCGAAACATGGACACATGTCTACTAGCCGTGATTTATCGCCCACCAAACTCAGCGTCGGAAATGGACGCCAAACTGAACCATGTTTTTCAGTTTGCTTTGAACAAGTCCTACACCCACATTCTTATTCTTGGAGACTTTAACGTGCACGACATATAAACACCGGCAACCGAGAGTACGCAGTTTAAAGCCTGCTTGCAAGAGCTAATTGCTAGCCACGCTGTTTACAACCACGTAGTGTTTCCCACCAGATTTCGAACTGCTAACAAGCCGTCGATACTGGATGTTGTGCTAACTAACGAAGAACTCATGGTTGACGGGATAGTTACAAGTACACCCCTGGGTCGTAGTGATCATGTTACTCTACTCTTTGACTATATTTGCTATGCGGAGTAACCTGAAAAGGAGGATGATAAAGTGAATACTGCAACGCACTACAATGTGTTGTCCAAGCTTGTTAAGGATACATCTTGGACTTTCTTATCCGAAAGCCCCCCAGATCTGGCCTGGGATATGTTTACAAGGACTTTGAGCACACTGGTAGCTCAAGCATCGGAACAGAAGTCCTTCCAACCCAAAAAAAGCATAAGTCATTTCTGAGGAGCAGAACACATAACTGTATGTTTCGGAGGGAATTGGCATGGCGAGATCACAAGAACTGCTCGAATGCCAAAACCTGGAGTGCATACGTGACACACCGTAATTTCTGTGTGCAACTGTTCCGCGAAGCTAAGGGTGCTCATCAGCAGGAGTTAATGAAGCTATTCTGCACCAAACGCAAACTCCTGTACAGGCACCTTAACGCCCGTCTAAAGGTGAAGCGCAGGGTTCCAGCACTACTTACCGCTGATAGGTGCACGTGATAAGCAATGGAAGCAGTTGATCTCCTACCGCTACATAACTCCCAAACTTTCCAGCGGGTAACGAGCCCAAACATTCCCCTCATTTCTAATACTTCACCATCGGTTTTAAACAACATCACCTTCATTGCGGAAGTCGTATAGAAGAAGTTGTTATCCTTGCGTATCCACAGTTTTCCTGGAGTCGACAACATCCGACCAAAGACTCTGCAGGCAGTTGCTAGTGATCTAGCAAAACCACTGGCTGTTTTCTATCAGCGATGTTTAGAAGCAAACCGTATTCCACCAGTATGGAAGCTAGGTGTCATCGCTCCCATCCATAAAGTAGGTAGCTGCACTGATCCTGCAAACTACCGTCCAGTAACATTACTTCCCGTACTATCCAAAGTGACGGAATCAATCCTCGCAGATGCGCTAATGCAGTATCTGGAAAACCGCAACTTAATAGCTCCACAGAAACATGGCTTTCGTCAAAAGCAATCGTATAGTACTAGCCTATTAATTTCACTTAATAGCTGGACTGAAGCTGTTGATGAGGGAGTAGAAGTCGATATCATCTATATAAACTTCTCAAAAGCGTTTGATTGCATAGACCATCGCATTCTCCTTCAGAAGCTTCGGAACTATGGCATTGGCAACCCAATCCTGAGTTGGATTAACAATTTTATACAGGAACTACGGCTAGTGGTGAGAGTTCGAGAATCTTTTTCTGATGCAATCGCTATGGTGTGTGGAGTACCACAAGGCTCGCTTCTTGGACCTCATCTACTCTTGGTGTTCATTAACGATTTGACGAGATCAGTTGCTTCCGATTTCCTATTTTCCGCTATTGATATCAAGATCTGGCGAAGGACTAGAGGACCGGACGACCACGAACGGCTTTAGTGCGATCTTAACACTGTGTCGAACTGGTCAGTTCAAAACGCCGTACCATTCAACGTAGACAAATGTCGCATTGTACAATTACGCCATAGACATAACTACACCTATTACTTGGGTCAAACGGATTGCAGACCAGCTCCTAGGAACGTGACCTTGGTGTGCTCGTACAGAGCGACCTCAACTGTTCACAACAAGCTGAGGTAGCTACGAAAAGAGGCACCTAGCATGTCGGCATGTTGCGAAGGCCATTCGGGAGATTTGACCCATCAATCTTCCCAGTGATGCGCAATTCCTACGTACGCCCGCATGTTGAATACGCTATCCAAGCTTGACAATCTTGGTTGAAGCGCGACCTAGAGACGTTAGAGGCACCACACGGAAGAGCAACAATGGATGTAAAGGTCCTGCGCTATTACTCATACCACTGAATGCTGAAGTTGCTGGGCATTTTCAGCGGACGCTATCGAAAGGTGCGAGGCCACCTCATATTAGCCTATCATTTACTGAGTGACCCCAACCACGTATGCCGCCATTTGCTGGAATTTAGCCACAACACACAGCTCAGAGGTATCCGCTTACAGTTGACGGAACAATATAGCCGTCTAGAGTGTCGACGGAATTACTTTTTCCTTCGAGTTTGCCAATCCTGGAAGGCACTCCCAGACTCAGTTATATTCTCTCCTACCTTGGACGTTTTCAAAAAAGCGATTAGATGTTGCTCTTAGCTCTCAGCATTTTGTTATCCAAACTTCTCTATTGTGGATTACGCCAAGCATGCTTTTCAACAGGATTTATGTATCAAATGGACCCAAGTGAGCGACCAAATCTTGCTTTCCTCACGTCTTATATCAGCGATCACTGCACCCCAGTGTCTTTCTGAACGTTTACGCTCGATTTTACTTTAAATTTTATACTGATGTAATTTATCGAAGTATTCATCTAGGCAGACGTTCGGTAGATGACTCATATATATTTTCATTTCATCATATTCACCGCTACCATCCTACGGGACGTGTCAAGCACTTGCTTTTATCCCGTGATAAATCATTGTTCATTGTGCAAAACTGATTTACTAAAATTGTGGAGTAATACATTTGCAACGCCCCAGCGTCTGTTGCTCTAGGAATCAGATGAGACAGAACAGGTGATCTAATGTGTGATCCGAACATTAGAACTGGCTGCTTACTTCTGTCACTGCAGTATAAATGAATCATTGCGAATTGTTCGTGTCCATATGTACACATTCTGTGACAATGATTTAATGTTACAAACTAGCTTTTCAGTCATTTCTGGTAGGCTTCAAACAGGTTGTTCCGTAAGCTGCCCTATCAATCCATGTAACGAACTTGGTACTTTGTGGTAAAAGCGTCAATAAGCTTGGTCCGTACACAGCACCAATCTTGAAGATGCGCCCTGATGGAACCGATGGAGGTTGCCCGCAACCACCACCGAATAGTGGCGTTATTAGTGAAGTGATTTGCCACGGCAGTTCCCAGTGCGTGTTCACAAAAACGATGAAAGATAAGAGTGTATGTTCACACCACTACTTACTTTGCGTTGTTATACTATTACTCGACTAAAATTTGCTTCTCTAATCTTGTTCCATCAAATAACGACAAACAAGGTGTTACCAACATTTATGCACAAAGTTCCTATTTGACCCTATCTAAACAGACATTAACAGTGTCTTTGTGGATTGGAACCGATTAGTACGTATAACCTTCATAAGAATCGACACCGAAGTAATTAGTGTAGAGAAATAGGGTAGCAAACACGATCGTTACTTCTATAATTACCGCTCGCATTTTGCTGTCATCCTAATTTTGGGGTTTGTCTGTTTCCTTACAAAAAAGGAAAACATTCTACACTAAGAGATGCTGCTTAATACCAGAATGGACAGAAGCAATGTGGATGTGTTTGTCTTAATGAAAGGGATACTTACAGGTAGGACATGAGACCAACTGCCGATGTAAGTGCACTCAAGGCTACTCAGCTCCATGCCAGTCTGTTTATTGGTGCCCATAAAATCCAACTTGGCTATTCTGGCCATTAAACAACCCATCCAGCATCGCACCTGTTTGATACAAGTGTCAGCAAAAGGATTTATGGACTGTGGTAATCGATCGATTTGATCCTCAACAACCTGGCTGATTAGGTCTCAAGAACCAAGCAGTGTGTCATCCAGGTGGACTAAGAAACCGTCCACCTTCTTGTAATTCCTTTGTGTACTTAACCACGGAAGGCGAGTGAATTCCTTATCTACGTGCCTGTTCGGCAAGCCCTAATTGAATTGTGTGAGAACACTGAGTATTTATTTGTGAGAGGACCGAATGGACGCCGAACAAACAACCTAGGTTAATACATCAAATCAACTCGTGTTTCAGCTCAAATAGAATATTTACTTTTAATTTTCTTTTAACAGCATCGAGAACATCCCTGACAAATGGAAGTAACAAAGTATCCCCAGCTAGATATCGAACTACCATTGGAAAATGGTGACACCTCTCCGAGCGAAAACGAACTGGAGGTTGTGAGCGGAGAAGATCGTGCAGGCATGGCGTTACTCGAAATGTGCTATTATGATGAGTACGGGGAGATGATTTGTGGACCAGCGATGGAACACACAGCAAAGCCGATTAGTTCCGATGAGGAACTGACAGAAGCAGGCGACACAGGGTCACACGAGGTCCCAGTAGTCCAGGAGAGGAGTTCTATTCGCAAGGTCACCTCTCACATACTATTGCGTGAGCCGCTCCGGAATGATGAGGATATTTGTATGTGCGTCTACGATGAGTACGGAAAAATGATTTGTGGATCCGGAGAAGACTTAGAATCAAGAAAGAATAGAGAAACGAAAGAGCTGGTAGTTCCGAAACAAGTATCGCTCAGAGGAGATGCAATGCGTCGGGTCGCTTCTCATGGACACCTGCGAAAGATACAAGGAGCTGGTTATCCGGGGTCGTATTTCTACGATGAGTATGGGGAATTGGTCCAGAGGTCAACATTGACGCCACCCAGCCCAGACGCATCGGGTGTGCTTCCATTAGAAGAGCATTACGCAAAAGTCCTTCCCACCATAAAAGCAAGCAAGATGGAAAAAATTCGGCGTGCTGGCTCCCATAGTAAGCTGAGTTCCACAGGACAACAATCACCTCCATCCCGTGCGCAGAACCAGTGCCTGAAACATCCAAGACATGAAAAGGTTACAGTGAAACGAGGATCTGACGGCAAAATTGGAGTGAAAATTCGACGAATGGCAAGTGTGAGTGCTAAGAGCAAAAAGTGTGTGTTTGACGGCTATTAGCATCCTGTGGCATTCTAGAGCATATGTGACGCCGTGAGTTTTGCTCAGTTTGTGTTTAACAGTGCACCTTGCACATACGAGTAAAGTGTAATGTTCGGTAGGTTTCCTGATAAAGATACACAACATTCGCCGACTGCTAGTTTTGCTTCTGGTACACATTTTCAGTTCCTGGTGCTGTCACTTCCTTTATAACTCACTGGAATTACGCATGGACCTAGATACATTATTTTGAACCAAATGCGTAAATACTTAGGATTAAAAGGTTTGACGGTGACTTGCTATTCATAACAGTTGGAAAAATAAAACAATGGTTTGTAACGATTAAAATAACATTGGCATAACGAGTCCCGTAGGCCGGTAATGGAAAAATTTCAAATTCGAAGACTACCTAAGTGGAAAGAAAAAATACACATTGCTAAAGAGATAGGGTAAACTTATGCTAAAAGCGCGGTTGTTGAAATCACATAATAACATGCAGTACATGAGAATAAAGTGAAAGTTTTGATGCGTAATGGAAGGAACGGTGGGATTGGTTCTCCGCATTTATCGACTTAAGTGAATCAAAGTGGATTATATTTATAAAATCCAGTTAACCGAAACCCCTGCCAAATTATCCGCTAAGTAATCATGTCTAAGGGGCTAAGTGCGATATCCAAAAACTTTTGAAAATGTCCAAATTAGGGGATATATTTGTGTTTTGGGATGTGCTCCAGCCTTGACGAACCAGAAAGGATAACTAGGTTCGTCGACAACCTAGGCTATTGTATTGTTGACTCATTTTTGGGCTACTGGCTGTAAGCTTGGTGCTTCTTCTTTTGGAGACGGCGTAAGCTATTAATATTTCTCAATGCGCGACTTTGTGTGGTCTCGAGCTCAGTGACGGCATGCTTTAGTCAAGTTTACCAAGCCTGGTTAGCGTGCTCGAAGTTGGGACGCGCGTAGGTATTTGACGTCAGAGGGAAGATGGACGAATCAAAAGTCTCGAGTGCCCTGTGTAACAAACCGACATACTGGTTACTTCTTTTTGAAGTGAAATTAGATTCTGTGGAACCACGGAGTTCGCGTTCCTGTGCTGTGCTGATCGTACGCCCCAAACCGACAGTAGTATAGGTTGCCAGTTGCATGCAGCAACGGGCGCTTCGCTGTCACGTGACCACCACCACCACTCGCGCGCGGGCTGAGTATACCGAAAGGACGTTCACCCCTACGCGGATTCGAACCGCGGACCATATGGTTGCAAACCAGGTGCGCAGATCACTCGGCCACCCGCCGACGCACCAAGCCTGTAGATACAAAGGAAGAAAGTTACTGATTCATCCCGGTACCGGATCTCTGATGCCATAGTACTGAAGTTTGTGAAGCGCGATATGATAACACAAGCAATCGAATACTCTAAACAGTTCCAAATAAATAACCTAGGTTCATGTACCATCGTCAGCTGCTTTCATCCATTTGTCGCATGAAGCAGCCAGTTTGTGATGCATTATGATTCCTAAGAATGTAGAAAAAACGGTGCGGTAATGCAGCACCATCTTTATTGGCGCGATCACAACCTACCTCACCACTCACGCAGGCGTACGTTAATAAGTCACGTTTCCTCCTCACAACGCGCCATCTCGGCTAGCTTCCGCTCTCAACATGTCCATACACTTTGGGAACTTCGTGGTGGAATATTCCCTGGTCATTTCACCCCCGTATTTCCGCTTCTCCGCGCCCGATTCCGTTCGGCCAGGAGTCGTTCGATAGCTCATGATTTGCTTGATCGTGAATGCATCACCCTGCTTGGGGTCGGACGGGCAGGCAGCCATAACGGCGCTTTTGTCTGTTGTATTACCTTAGCGACGAATGCCCACTCTGGTTTGCCTTGCTCAGACTCACTACCGGACGCCGCTCGTGGCCCGTTCTCGTCTCCTTCCGTCAGGCCAGCGTGGCTCCGTCTGACCTCCCTCCTTGCGCCCCCTTTTCCGTTCCCGTCCACCCCGTTTTCGGGGTCTTTCACTCCTCCGGGAAACAACTGCCTTCCGCTTCCCTAACATAATACCAACGCTGCTGTAGCGCGATAATACAGTAACAATTCAGGTAAGCCATCAATGTGTCTACAATGCTAGCTTCCATGATCTTAGCGAGCTCCGGGTGAGGTGCTACCGGGTGGTAATTTGTAGGCCCAGATCGACTTCCTGCCTTGTGGACAGGGTGCTGGTACCTAACTTCTACTTTGACGAAACAATGGTCCCGTCTTGACAGCGCTGGAAGAATCCAGCAAATGGTTCGACTAAATACATAGTTTCAATCTGTTTTGCTTTCAGACAAACCTTCTACGTTTCAGAAGAGTTGTGCGAAGTGTACCTTGGTCACATCTATCACTGGAACCGTAACTGACGAAGCGAGTAATATTGGATGTGGTACGGTGGGAGACACTGCAACCCGTGTCGCGTTTCGACCTTATTTGAGCTCTTTAGCTATATATGTATATATGTATATATATATATATATATATATATATATATATATATATGGTAGACATCAAACCCTGGTCTATTGATACCGGGAACAACGCGGACAATGCGTCGTAGTGCGCAATAGAATCAGTGTAATAAATGCAGCCCAACCGTAAGGTCACGTGATTACTTCGACCCAAAGGAATGCACGCATCAGGCTCATGAATATAAGTGTCTCTCTGGTGAACGCCAGTTCGAACCTCGAAAGCTTATTCGTTGTTCTGAATCTTGTGAGAGGGATACTATGGTGTGCAAGCAATTGTCTCCCGCAGATGGGCTTTGAGCTGTCCAATGCCGGTTACGGGATTTTCCAAATCACTGATGTTCGAAACGTCTGTAATAAAGATATGCTTGTATTTTTGATTCACCATAAAAAAGCGAAGCCAACTTACTCTGTGATCCATTTTCGGAGTGAATTTTGGCGGTCTCTAAACTACTGACACAATGCGTATGTCCTTCTTGTGCAACCACAAAGTGCACCAAAGGAGATTAGTGACACGCGTTTGTGGATCGTCAGAGAGTTCACAGCGAAAATTAGTTTTGTGGTAAATTATCACAGTCTCTTTCATGCCCGTTATGTTCTTCCGGGTAAGCGACATACTGGATGGTCGGTCATCTCCCAGCCTAGCCATGGTTCGCTGATCATCAACACATTTTAACCCTCCGAAGCCTGATGATGACGGAGTCCAATTAGCTTACTGACCAGGCATTTAGCTTTGGTGTACAGGCAGGACATAGTCTCGGTAACCAAAAGTAAGTCTGTAGATGTCGAACTACTAGTTGAGATTGTGAAGACCGTTGAGAGGTCGAAGAGTAACTGTTTTATGAGAAGTCATTCACCCTTGAATTTAGGTTACATTATATGACTGCTCGCGGCTGTCTGGTTCCTGTTTGGTCTACTGTATTTAATCGTATTCCGTCAGCCTCTGAGGTCGGTCCGTTCACAGTACTGTACTTGATAAAGATATACTGACCTGACCGTCTTCAGAGAAGCGTCAGCCACCCGTAGACGTTTACACGATGCACTTAACGGAATTTCTGTAGGCAGCCTAATGTGGACATTGGACTAGTTATCCAAGGTAAGCGGTCTTATTCGCCTATATATGAGCTCCACCTTCATCAGCGTGGGACCATTCCTTTGCAGTTGGGTGCAACTAGAATCCTTGGCAATAGCTTATCGATGAGCTTTTCGAGACAGTGCTTGGTGGAGCTAACGCCATTGCTCCCGGTCGTGTGCACCCACTAGATCAGAGGAGAAAGCTGGAAGCTCAGGAACTCCGTAAGCATCCATCCGCCGTTTGTCGTCGGATGTACGTGCTTCCTCCAGGTTGCTGTTCTCTTTCAAACGTTCCTTCCAAGGGGTGTCGGGAAGCATGCGCGCTTCATAAGTTGAGTTACAGCGCCGAATGGAAAGCAATATAACGAGCTTTGTGTCCGTAAAGGAGATCACTTTTACGCGGAGTATTCCATATTCACCGTAACGCACTGACTTTTCGTGATGTGTCATGGCTCAATCGCAGTACGAATGGACTTCCATTGGTTGTGGGCTTCCAACAACTTCACTCCATGGTAGTGGACTACGATTCCGGAACATTTGTACACACGATCGTTAGGGCGCTGAGATCTCATCTTTTCACCATCGCTTTAGTGCAGTAGTTGATGCCGATTTTAACGAGTTGGTGGACTGTGGAAGCTTGTGAATCCTAATGTTGCTCGGAGCAGTTACCGGAATCAGGGATGTTCTCTCTGGCGTTCGTATGGGGGCTGCCATTATCGTCGCTGACTTAATATAGTTTGGGTCGCCCAAAAGAGTGCAAGCAGGCACTCTTGGTGCATGCCCATTTATGAAAGTGTGGTGGAACATAGGATTTGGAAACACAGGATCTCTTGTTGGCTTGGAGCGTCTGGCTATCTTCCACCTATTGCTCTACGTTATTAAGTAATCCCATCCAGAGCGCCCACTAACCGTCTACAGATAACCATTGATATCTGCATGGCTTTTGTCGGACTTCCGTAGTTGTCGCGAATTAAAATGAAACTGGAAGTCTAGCAACTACAATTGTAGGTGGCTAGAGGTTTTAATGTGATAATGCTAGCCTAGCCACTCCTGACCAACTTGTGTCTATTAAAGAGTTAAGGTATCAATTTGAAAAGGGATAGATTTGAACCTGTTCACTATTTGTCGTGTCTTACAGTATCTCTACTTCGCCTACGTGGAAAAGGGATCACCAGCGGCCGCCGCCGGCATTGGATTCGGCGACCAATTACTCGAATTCTCTGGCTATAACTTAACCGGCGCATCCGGGTCCCGAGTGGAACATTGGCTCAAAGAAAGCAAGCAGACAGAACTCCAACTAACTGTCGTGAAGAGGTGAGTTAGTCTCAAATTCTTGAAAGATACTTGGTGAGTTAGTCATTTGTGTTAGGAATGAAACTTCCATTTCTTCTCCCCAATACTTGGTTGCGACAATCAAATATAGTTCATTGGTTCAGAGTGAGGAACCCCTTGTATCAAGTAAGTTCATGGGACTAGCCAGTCAAAAGCACGCACAGAAGAATGATGGTGAAAGATCGCCTTCGGTTAGCGTTACACAGTGCTAAAAAGGGATTAAATAATAAGCTTGGAGATGGGTCATCTCAACATGTTACTTTACCAACAATGCGGTGCATTCGAATTTGCTCCCGTTTGTATCCAAGTAGTAAAACTTACGGATAGGGTCATAGGATTGTAGGGAGCAGAACGAAAAATCTTTTGTCAGCTCCATCGCTTCCCGATCATTGTGTGAAGGCCGCGATTCGCTGCGAAGCGGTATTCCACAAGGGACCGTTACATCCGCAGTGGAAGCTGCAAACGCTTGTCGTACTCAAGAGACAACATTCGATTGAAACATCCCTCGGTCTGCGTATCGATCACATGCTTCGGTAAATCGTTCCAATCGTTGACTACGCGAGTTGGCAGAGTGAGAGCAGGACGAACCCGGAGCCTTCTGGGTTTAAACAGCTTCCAGTCGCGGCTTCGAGTTGAACTGTTTGCATTAAGTTGAACGTACGCCTGCAGCTCCGTTCTCATCTCTTCTCTCAGTATGCACCTGGCGATGTCGACGATAATCCGGGGAAAACAGGTTCATCCGCTGAAGTCACAGACGTATTTCGATCCCCGCCGTTGGACATTCTCAGTCAGGTCAAATTCGAACTTGGTGAGAAGTAAGACGGCAGTTAATCAGTATTGTAGAACAGGGCGCACATGGTAATCAAACGAATGTCGGAAGATATCTGGAGTCAAACGCCAGGAGGCTGTTCCTATGGCATGGGACATCCTGTTGGCAGCAACAGCCCTTCCTAACTTGTCATGCGCAGACCGTGGATCAGATGGCACCAACACGTCCAGGATTTTTTAGAGGATTGAAGTTCTGAGCAACGCCCCACCAATGGGCTACGTTCCGAAACGCTCAGCAGCACCTATGGGAAGGACGGAGCACTCATCGCGATTTATGGGTAATCGCCATTTGACTGACCACTCATGTAACGTAGGAACTGTAACCTGTACTCTGTCCGCATCGTCAAGACAGGATACCTCCATCCACAGCTTCAGGTCGACAGTGTAAATCAAATAATCTGACTAAAGTTCCGACGGGAGGTCACGGATGAAGATCTTGAAAACTTCTGGGCCAAGGACCGATCTCTGCGGGACGTCGTTAGCCATGAGCACAGGAGTGGAGTAAGTTTCGTTCACGTTGACTCACATTGTTCGGTCATCTAACAAATCGCCGATCCAAGAGAGAACGTTCCCAGAAACACCGATCACTTGTAGTTTATGAAATAGTCTTTCGTGAGGAACCACGTCAAACGCATTTCTGAAGTCGACAAAGCAACATCCAGGCGTTTCCCGACGTCTAATGATTTCTTCCATCTTTCTCGGGCAGCAAGCATATTCGAAGAACAGGAGCATGCCCGCCGAAAATCATGCAGCGCACCAGAGATGACGCTTAGGTTCTCGAGGTGAAGATGAAGTGCCTGTTCGAAAATCCTCTCCATTACCTTGCACATTACTGATGTTAAGCAGATGGGTCGACAAACGGCAGGAGTTTGATGATCCCCTCCTTTGTGTACGGGCCTAACAATTCTTACTTTCTAAGCAAGCGGGAGCTGTACAACCTCATGAGAATGGCGAAATACCCGGCAAACAAGAGCGGCAATGTAGTCACCCTGTCTTGAGGAACAGCGGATGCAACCCATCAGGACTCAGATCTAATTCACGAATGCCTTTGGCAACGATATCAGCGCTCACCTCTACGTGCTCCAACGGAGATGGGTGTATTGGCCGCGCATCACTGGCTAACGGCGTCTCCATCAAGTAAACAGGTGAATATTTCTTGGCCAGCATAACTAGACTCAGTCAAGCTGCATGCCCAAGTCCTGTAGAACTTGTACAGCCGTTCCAACCGCATTCCGCATGTCCCATATGGGGATGAAACCCATGAGCTCATCCTTGTTAGTCGGTGGTTAGGGCAAGTGGATTAAGAGAACGGCAGCGATCGGTGTGTACATGCCCCTTACTTTTCTGTACGACGCATTCTTCTCTGCTGATATGCATGTTACTCTCGTGTGGAGCGCAGGGTAATGCTGAGCAATGACTTCCTTCCAATCAGGTTGTGTTACGATAAGCAGCTGAGATGAGTACTGATTCGTGTCCATGACTAGTTCCGAATGGAGGAAGTGGCTGCACAATGTCTTCCCGGAAGTTCAATGGTCGTCTAATTGAAGGTATTTGTGTTGAAATCAGCCTATATTACTAAAAAACCGCTATCACTCCCTTAGAATCATTATGCAATCCGGACTCTTCATTGTGCGAAAATTTAGCAGGCCGTTTGATTTGGGAACTCAAGGTTCATGGGCTACCCTGTCGTCTGCACCACAGTAACGTGCAAGTGATTGGACAGTGGGACGCGACCTACCCCATCTAGTCACTTGGTAATGTCGGCCATTGCTATCCCGTGTCCCATTAAACTTGACAAACGAATAGTGAAGTTGCGGGTTGCGGATATTAGCCATACGATAATGAGATGTTCAACCAACCAGGTCAGGACCCAGCAAAGTTTTCACGATACTTATGATAGGTATTCCACCCCAGTTGGGAAGCATAAAACAATAGTTCAATAGTGTACGATGGGATAAAAAGCATAACTTTACAAGACCCACAGGATGGATGTGCAAAAGAAAATTAACCTCAAATATGTTCCAACGTGGACCGTGGAATATCAGTAGTTAAGACATTGCACTTTATCACATGATTGTGTAGCGTTTATTATTAAGATGAAATTTTAATAGGCTTTCGGACGTCTTGATGTCTGGTAGATTCACCACATGTGTTGGTAGTGCACTCCAGTGAGAACAGATTCTAAGTGCAACAAATTACTTACCACAATTCAAACGGGAGTATTGCGCCATTAGTTTCAGGTGGTTGCCGCGGCATTGTTTGTAAGGTGCTAGGGTCAACTGTTGCGTTCAAACATGCTCGCTTGCAGTTAGTATCCGGTATGTGCGAATGAGATCTCCGCGGAGCCGCCGATATTCTGAGGAGAACACACCGAGTACACAAATACGTAGTTCGTAACTGAGACCGGATAGTCCACACGTTGCCTTTGTGGCTCTTCTTTGCGGTTGCTAAAATAATCAAATGTCGCCTTTTACACATGGGCACCGGGCTTGAATTGCATATTCAGCGTGAGAACGTATATACGAGTTAAGCAGCAATGTTACTAGCTGTCACACAAAGGTGCCGAGAGCTCACCTCAAAAGCCTCAAGTTCAAATTCGCCATAATTTCCGCCTTCGAACATTGTAGCGAATTGCCAAGACTCTCTTGCACGATTATACTTAAGTCGCGTTCACTAGTCAAGTGTAGCAAGACGTGTTGCCTCGTAAGCTATGCGTTGACGAAGCTGCTGCGCACCGTCAGCAAGTGGCACTTTGCAAGCTTCAGCGGGAGCTGGTTTGCTTCTGACCATTCGTTAATCCGAGCCAGATCATCCTGAAGATAGACACGGTCGAATGCTGAGCGAATTGCTTTCCGTATTTTAACATCGTCTGCAAAATGTTTGCATCGGGGATAGAACGTCTGCTGCGAAGTCAATAATGTGGTCTAAAAACAGTAGCGGGAAGAGGACGGATGCTTGTGGTACACCCCTAGAGACACACAGGCTTTTAGTGTGAGTGTCTGCTACTCTTATCTTGATTGCGCTGTCGTGTAAGTAGTCTTTCAACTAGGTGAGTAGGGAACCTTTGATACCGTATGTAGCAAGCTTTTGGAGAAGAATGAAGTGATTGATGCCGTCGAGTGCTTTATAAAAATTCAAGTAAATCACATCTTTGGAGATTCCTTCATCAGCCCCTTTAGTCCACGAGTCCCGAGTAATCCGTAAATTGGTGGGACAAGATTCTCTGCATCTGAAACCATGTTGGACAATAGAAATTAGCTGTTGACTTTTAAAGTATCGCGGCCGTTCAACTGCAAATACCGATTCCATCACGTTTGATAAAACAGGTATTTGGCAGGATCCGATCGCTTACCTCTTTTGTATATTGGAGTGATAATTCCATTTTGTCACTCAGACTGGAGTGTATGGGAGTTAAGCAGACCATGGAAAATGCCTGCAAATGGTGCTGCTATGTCGGGAGCAAGGTTTCTAAATACTTTTGGGCAGATCAGTTCGATTCCAGGGGCGCTGTACTCCCGAGGAAGTGCAATTGGCTTGCAACAGCTGCTGGAGTAAAGGTGACGCTGGATAAGCCAACGACATTTGTTAGCGGTTGATAGGGCGAAGGTTTCATGATATTTGTAGCTTCCGAGCCAAACTGCAGGAGTAGAGCGTTTGCGGCATCCACAGCAGTAGTTGTTAGGCCCCTGGCCGTCTTGAGTGGTGGCATTCCGGACTTAACCTTTCTTTTACCATTCACATATCTGTATAGTAGTTTGGTGTTACCCGTAATTTTCTGCAACATGATCTCTTGTCATTCGTACGTATCGACTCTAATTAGCGACGTGCAATAGGTTCTGATTGTTTTGTAATTCTGCCATGTGATATCACATAGTCTTAGCGAATTTTGCCTCCAGGTCTCATATCTTCTGCCGATCCATTTACTTGTTCTGCTGCGGATCCACGAATTGGTCCGGCGCGATGTTTGTAATGGTAGAACTTTTGATTCTGATTGTATGACCCAGTTAGTTTTAGCGTTCAATTCATTCCATGCGTCATTCGCTGAACTGTGCGGCTGTAGGTGCCAGTCAATGGTTGTCGCTAAGTTGTGCAGCTTAAAATAGTCCGTGCTAGTTCTTCTTGCTTTATCAACAGTACTGGTATAACACCCATAACCAAACGTTAGGACTGAATGGTCGCTACAGTCCAGTGGAGGGTTGTATGCTACTGATTCAACCATCAACTATTCGTTAGTCGGTGTTAAGTCCAGGAGTGATGGCTGTTTGAATCCCGGTGTCTGGTTTGTCGATGCACATGGTTATACAAACCTCTCATATTCATGAATTCAAGGAATTTGATTTAAATAATGGCTCATTAGGGGACACTGATTCTATTGAAGTTATCAAGGGCTGGCTCAACATGGGGACACTGCGTAATTAACTGTCTTTACATCCGTTGTAGGCACAGCGAAAATGTTTTTTTGACTCCAGATGGGATCACACGTACGAAGCAAATTAATACAGTGAGTTACTATGACCACTGACCGACGGTAGCAGCCAAGGTGATTAGCCACAACCTTTGTAATCGATGCGTCTTTGCCTAACACATACTGGGGTTACATTAAACAACAGATATTTCACCTATGCAATGCCACAGGTGTTTGTCGAAGAATACGTGGAAGCCTAGAAGTAGCAGTAAAGACGGTAGGGATAAAATTGAAAACCAAAAGGGCTTCTTAGAGTATTTTACCTGTGATACGAAGAACACCGGTAGACTACAAAGCTTAAAATTTAAATATATCTGTTACCCCTAACTAGAAAGTCGTTTATTACGCTTTTCATTTAGCAGACAGATCCGGGCTCTCGGGTCTTCAAACAATAAATATTTATCTACCCAACTGTCCACACGTGATCTCGGAATTGAGTACTCATCCACTTTCGTTATCCGAACATGTCCAATATTTAATAATACGTGCCAGACAAACTTTGCTTAATAAATGCAACGAAATTCACACAAGACATGCAAGAACATCCTCGAATATTGTAGCCTAATATATGATCATATAAAGAAGAGTGACAGAATTGCAGTGGAACACTTGCGGAGGTCGTTTACTGAACATTTGCTCGGTAAGTACTACGCCATGAACTATCGAGAGCATTGTGACGACATTCAACTTTAACCACTGGATCCGAAGATTGCAACAGAACTAATTGCTGTTTTTAAGTTTTCTACACAAGAAGACGTATTCCGAGCTATTTACACTCGAACTACAACATAGCTCAAATCAAGCGATTCATGACTAGGATTTTACGCTGTATATACAAAAGGGTAGAACGAACATTCGCCCTAATTTTTCCTGGTCAGCTATAACTATATCTGGAATAAACTAGCATTCACACTCAGGTCATTTGACATTGTGGCAACATTTAGAAGCAGACTATTCAGTTACTTTGATCTAAATACCATAATCACTATGTTCACTTGGGAAATTTCGCTCCGTATGCTATTCGAAGAGGGACCCAAAAACACCTTAACGCTAATGTTTCCAAACCGCCATTTCCGCCTCTAGCATCCATAGGAACCTAATAAGATGAATCACATAGCCTAATATTCCACATATGCAAATCATCCAAGCAAGAGCATGGATATTTGTACAAATTAATCTGTGCCGCTTCAGACACAGTTTCTCGCATTAGAAGAACTATACATATTCCCAGTGAAGCATCATATCCCAGTTGGTGATGGTAAGCGATTCTCCTTGACAGATGTCCATTGGGGTTGACTTGGATGAGTTTGAATACAATGTTTGTCCCCATGAATTATAAAGTGTCTTTTACACAAGACCATCTCGTCATGTTAACGCGAATTGTAACCACCTATATGTGTGTGGTTTACAGGTGGCTTACATGAACGTTAAGTTTAACCAGGACCAGGGGCGGATTCTTCTAGCGTTTTGGAATCACTCTCTCCTGCATAATGGCAAACGCTGACATCTCAAACTCAGCCTTGTTAGTACAAGGCTAAGAATATCAAATCAAAATTCCCTCTACCGTGAGTTGAGTCCAATGAATGTTCTTTATCAAGAGTTCCTGGGGCGAAGCTGTTGTCAAAATGTGCAGGGAACATTGTCTTTGTGGCTAGCCACGGCTAAAAGTTTCCCCGCCATGTGTGTATTGCTTCTTGACTTAACTTGAATGTAGAGTTCCTTGTACCTTCCGGGATCCTCATAGCGGTTTCTTTTCCGGTGAAATCCCAGTGCAACTGTCCGAGCGACCGAAGTCACAGGTGTTAGCGGAAGGACTAACCGTATTACTTGATTGAGCGCTGATAACTTGTCGGCTCTGCTGGTCGTGAACAGATTGAAAAGTCGCCGTATTCCAGGGTGTCTTTTGTGACACCTGTCTATTCATGAGCGAACCAATTTCTTACATCAATTGTCACAATCCTGCTATACATACTTCTTCTCTCACGCTTCAGGCCCTATGATTTCGACTTAAGGGGGACCGTAACACCGCAAGGAGATCTAATTTATAGCACAAAGCTTGGTAAGCGGTTGGGTACCGTGAAACTGAGCAAGGTACTCCACAAAGGACACCTTAAACACTTGCAATTACTCTCGGTGAATTCAAAACCAATATTGTGTCGGAGTGAGGCAGAGATCACCGATGCATTCAAAGGCACTCAAGATACATTCCGTCTACGCGTGATGCCTCGGCTTCTGGCAGATCATCTGACGAAACAGTGAGTCACATGTGCACAAGATCGATTTCACAAGTGCAGTGTAAGTTGTCATCTAGCAAACGCATAACTCGGATGAGTTGAGTAATGCTAGCGTAGATGTCAGGAAACATGGAGTCAGGTCAGTTTGCAAAAGGCTTCAATTAGCAGCAACATGTGTTATGAGCGCATTGATTGTTTAAGTGTACACTTGGTCTAACCATGAAATTAGGGTGTTTATGATAAGCGATCTGCAGATTGAATCACTGCCATGAAACGTGGATTCACGAATAAGCTAGATATAAGCCAAATCGCTTGTTTTGTAGCTTAACTTTCCTTTGATTACTACCTTAGTCTCCAGTTACTTTCCGATCCACCAGTACTGTTTCGAAATGATTCCGATATACTAACAAATACAAAGATTTCCATGACCTCGGCTTTACAGATTATTGGTAGACGCGAGATTAATCTATTTAGTCTACTGTGGAATTGTGGCGAAGGAACGGATCCAAAGGTTACGTCAGCATAATGCATTTTATAAGCTTTTAAGTTTACAAAAGTCTGACGGCTGTTACTGTATGACGACATGCATTTACAATGTAACCTCAGAATCGTGCTTCACATTTCTAATTCCGTTCGCATCTATTTGCAGGTTGGATAAAACGAGCGTTCGAGACTGCATGCAACTTTCTCAGCTGAAAAACTGATACACGTTCAAGAGAAATAATTGCAACTTTTGTATAATTATCTGATCATCACAGCTGTAAAGCAGAACAATTAGTTCCTCGTGTATGCAGTTTGCGTGAAATGGAATATATCTGTTCTGCACATATGTTTTAAAATTTGTTTTTCTTTCTGAGCTTACGTTCACCCTCGTTAGAACGAAGCAGTATAGGGCGAAGTGGTGCCGCTTGAATGGGCTCCAGAAGGATATATGAGTATGTCTTCCGGAGGTTCTAAAATTAGAAGCGAGCGCGAGATATGAATCGCAATATTATTAGTATAATAGTAATAAAGATGTGTTTCCTCCCTAACAGGAAAAGCCTTTTTTGGATGATTAGAATCTTAAATTACGTTTCGTCAGGACATTTTCATGATAATCTAATTCTAAGGTAAAGAGAGGACACAAGTTGTCGGCGTCGTGATCGGCTTATAATCGAAATGGACCTAGAGTTCAATGCAATTAGCAACCTTGCTCCAAGGTTATACGATTCGTATTTATGGGTAACTGTAGTGAGCACTTCGATCTCAAATGTGCTCATCCCACGCTAAAGGAGACCAAGGGACGGATGGTGTGACTGATTTCATTAAATTTATTGCCCCGTAGAAGGAGAGATGCAGTAAAACGACATGGATCTTGGTGTCGTCGATAGCCAGTCGAACCGTACTATGTGAGGCGTTTACAGAAAAACTCAAGTTTTACTGCTTAAACAAATTCTATCTTTGAATTAAGTACTTAATAACACAGAATTAGGCTGCACAAGAAATATAAATCGTAATTAGGAGGACCACCCGACACAAGCTATCTAACCTTAGCTTAAGTAATAGTTCCAGATGTGGGTCTGTGGCACACATTACATCATGAAACCCAGTTTATCCCCATTGCCGAAAGGTTAGAAACATACAAGTCCGTTGCTGCTGTATGCAACCTCGAAGTAAAGTGTTCACACGCATATATAGCCAGCTGGAAATGCGTCATAAGCGACGCGAATACTACAGTGACAATTAGAAAATATCCTATCACAGTAACAAATAATCAAATAATGCCCTTATACAAAACTTTTGACACTCGATTGACTAAGACCTTGTTAGAGTTACTACGCTGTATCGGACCCAGGTCTGGCATCCAAACTCAGTTCAATATAACGAACCAAGGTTAATTCAGTGGACGAAGTGCAGATCATTTCCTTGCAAGGTGTCATCTTTGGTAATCGCTAAACCATATTCACATTTTATTTGTCATAGATTGAGGCGAGTGTCAGCACAAAGGGTAAAAACCCAGTTACCTACCGAAAGATAGACCCCTGTCCATAGTGTTCCGTAAATGCAAAGTTCCCATGAGGTGTAGATCGAAGTGCATAGCTTTGAGGACCGTCCGTACAACCGTGAAGTACGTCCGCACCCTATTCAATGGCGTTATCACCAACTTAACTTGCAGGATTTCTTCATCACTCAACTATAATGGATGTGTTCAAAAATTGATGAAAGTTGTACCCTAATCCAAACATATGATAATAAAGATGTTTGAAAGTTGATACCAGCTGTGTACCAGGCTACCATCCGAAATGGGCATAAAGACATTCCGCTTCTGGTTGCCATTAGCAAAGAAAGCAAGCAATCAACGGCGGTAGTTGTTAACCATATCTCTTTGGGATTCCGGAGCAAGACACACTGCATCCATCCCATACTATCGGAAATATAAAAAATGCCCACTATAGTTACTCTGAATCTTCTGCATTGGAATAGTTCAACAGAACGAACTTGAGCAGCTAGGATCGATTGAGTAAATCGTGCCTACCAGTTTGTTTCAAAACAGCTTGTACTCAACACGTTTACGATTTACTTTTATCTAGCCACTAGTTAAACTTTTGTTCAAATGCAAAAGCAGGCTAATCCTGTAAAATAGGATCCGTGCCTCCATGGTTCCTTTTCTCAAGAACAAGCAAATTAAACACACCCGTACCCGCACCATAGTTTCTCTACTTAGTCGGGATGTACAAACCTCGGCTCAAATGTTTTCCCAGTAAATTACGTGTTAATATAGAACAAACTTCCATCGAATATCAGAAACTTCTCTACCTATCTGCAATCCAAACGGATGATGAATGTGCACCTGACGGTTTCCGATATCTGGTCAACACCTAGTCAAAAGGCGACTCTAGACGATTGATATGAGAAGGGTCCTACGTAAACTTAAAAGCCGCAATATCACCTAATTGTTGCAATACTGTAATTGTACCTACATGGATGTATTCCTTAGTATGTCTTTATAAACCCTTATTCCTACCACTCCTGCATCCACGTCCAACCAGCTCAATCTTTTCCTTAGTTTCAGTGGTTTAGAGATGAACGGCGCATTTCAAGCCGAAACCTCTGCGCGGTAGACATTGCTTGCCATAGATTTCCGTCAAATTCTGCTTAACCTATAGGTAAAAGCTAGTAAACATTATTGTGATTTAATTCTTCATACTTTATATTCTTGATTATTTTGGCCACAACTGGGTTGCTCCTTTGAGATGACGAATTGCAGCTTCCAAGATTTAAACCAAATTATGCCCGTGCAAGGCATACTGCTACTGATTCGCTGGCATATAACAGAAAAGTTACCAGACTTGAATGATCCGCATAGCGGAATGGGCTGAGGTTTCATCGTCCATAATGAATGCATAAAACAGGCCATATGAAAAAATACATTTATTGCACAGTTAATGGCCAATTTACTATTTTGACCCGCCGGTACAGAGCCAGTTGGAGTATAGAAGCTCGGGTGAAACCCATCCAGGGTATACCCTGCATGGAAGCAGGTCCCCTGGGGACAGTTCTATGGATGGCAGTATTAGTTTATTTGGCCTTACGATTAAATCTGCATTTATTATTTTATCTTGTTTCATAATTTCGCTATCACTAAAGTGTCCATCACTTCAAAAACTCATTTGTGATCTGTTGTACAAAACATAAACAATTAAACTATTTAAGGCGATCTCAATGTACGAATGTAGCAGACCACCCAGCTGGGCTGTGCTTCGCATCGACTGGAAATAAACTTTTATTCATTTATTCATTTATCTACTATGTTTAGATAGATTCAAAACGCCAAGTTCAGTGCCACTGCTTGGAAACGTAACACTTTTAATGAGAATCTAGCTAGCACTGATTGTAACTCGATGGAGCCAATTAGATGTAGGTTCTCAGGATTTGAGCTACTCAAACCCATTAACTAAACTTGAGCAAATGTGTTAGACCATGTAATGCCATGGGGCATAGTATGTTCACACAAATATTTTGCAAAACTACGCATTCTTATAGCCGATAGAAAATGCTGTGACTGTCCTTTCGCCAAGTGTCAAGGAGACAAGATCAGATTTATACTTTTGATTGTTAAAAACAGTATCGATAATACAAAAGGCGGCTTCAGTAGCCGCCGCTCTTTTCATATCACCAAAATAAAACAAAACATTTTGTGATGCATTCTGTATAAGTTAAATTGAGCGGTCCGAAAATAACTCTATCAAATATACATAATTCTTTGGTAACAGTAGCATTTGCGGGCTCCTGAAAATTGTTAGCCAGGATTGTCTGTAACTTAGCTTCAGTAGTGTCAAGTAAGTGATTTACATGTTAGCAAAATACGTTTCACCTTAAGTGGTTGCAAACAATAAACAATGAATGTATCCGGTTAAAATAGGTAGCTTTACAAGTCCCGTTGGATAGTTAATGAGGATACCGAAAAAATAATTATTATAACCATAATATTCAAATGGGCAGTACTTTAAGTATGAACTTAAGAACTTATCGCTTGCATCGTTGTAGTACTGCAAGCCGCATAGATTCACAGAACTCACAGTTAACATCAAATAAATCCATGGTAAGCTCCAGTTGTAGGATGGTGACACAGAGCTAAGTGACAAAGTGAAAGTGGATGAGTAGGTCATCTAACTGTTTGTTAAATACTGTTAATGTCGGTGCAGAGGCAATCCATTCTGGGAGAGCATTCCGCGGGTGACCGACACGAATGGAAAAGAAATTTCTGCTGCACTGCAGACGGCCATACTGTTCTGCGAGTTTCAATGAGTGGCCCCTCAGGTTTGTATTGCTGCTGAGTTGCAGTAAAGTGGAGCACACATGATGTGGGTCTCGCAGAATCAACTATGCCATAATCAGGTCTGCTACACTAAACACCACTGCATTGTTGACGCGGCGATTTCGTTCGCTCATTCCATTATACATATTGGATAACACCTGTCCGATCACTATGAGTCACTATGAGTCGCAGCGATAATGGGCTGATTAAGCGATCTGTATACCGGAAACCAACGTGGTCCGGCTAATAACTACACTTCACTAGCTTCTCACAGATGGCACACAAGCGCGCGCTAGTAAAAACATTATTCACTCGGGCCAGACGTATCTGCTTCAACGACTGCCTGCCTGAAAAGCTTGAGCTGATCACTAAAACACTTATGGAGAATGGCTACCCAAAGCCATTCATGGACAAAAATAGCCACGTTAGACCACAAAAGTAGATGGTATTGACATCCCCCAAGAAGAAGGTGTACATCGGGCTGCCATTCAAGGATGACACCGCAGCACGAAAGATAACCAAACGTATTGTCTCGGCCATTCAGCGTACATACTGCGCTGCGCAGGCGGTACTTATCAACAGAAACCGAAAGTTGCGGTTAACTTCAGTAAAGGAAGATGAACCCTTCGGCGCCAAATCACATTGTGTCTACCAATTCGTATGTGACTGCGGTATCAGTTACATCGGCAGGACCGAAGGGGTTTTAGATTCCAGAGTGAAAGAACACTTACCAAATTGGGCTCAGCGCGATGTTACTCAACCCACCTCCAATGATACATGCTCGCGTAAGCCGCCAGCGTCCTCCATAGGCAGGCACATCTTGGCGACTCGTCACCGGGTTAATCCCTTATCAGCGTTCCGGGTCTTGTTACGTCATACTAATGCATGCCTTTTACGATTTGCCGAGGCCGTCGCGATAAGCCGAATTAGACCAGCTTTGTGTGTCCAAAAGCAATTAGTTGTCAACCTGCGGTTGCCGTGGCCCTAATCCCAACAACAATGACCACAATCATAAATTCGATTGGCTTGACTGTGCC